GAGTTGCAAACGTCTTACGGCTGGATAGAGTGTGTGGGCTGTGCAGACCGTTCCGCGTACGACTTGAGCGTACATGCGGCACGCACCAACGAGAAGATGGTGGTGCGCCAGATGTTGCCGGAGCCGGTCACTGTCGAGAAATTCGAGGTTGACATCGACAAGAAGAAGTTTGGTCCAAAGTTCCGTAAGGATGCCGGTGCTGTGCAAAAGCACTTGGCCGAGCGCACGCAGTGCGAGTTGGAGACTTTGGCTCAGGAGTTGGCCTCCTCTGGGAAGGTCGTCTTGGACGTTGCTGGCGTCGAGGGTAAAGTTGAGGTGGGCAGCGACTTGCTCAAGATCGCACGTGTCACGCGTGTTGAGCACGTGCGCGAGTTCACGCCAAACGTAATTGAGCCCTCGTTCGGTATTGGCCGTATTCTCTACTCCATTTTCGAGCACCAGTTCTGGAGTAGACCCGAGGATAAGGACCGTTCCGTGTTGTCTTTGCCTCCCTTGGTCGCGCCTACGAAGGTTTTGGTGGTTCCTTTGTCGAACCACGCAGACTTGACGCCGCTCACGCACAAAATCACTGCTGCGTTGCGCAAGGCCCAAGTGCCTTTCAAGGTCGATGACTCTTCGGCCTCGATCGGTAAGAGATACGCCAGAAACGACGAGTTGGGTACGCCTTTTGGTATCACAATCGACTTTGACACAATCAAGGATGGCTCTGTCACGTTGAGAGAGCGTGACTCCACAAAGCAGGTGCGTGGTAGCCTCGACTCGGTCATCGCCGCGGTCAAGGAGATCACTTACAATGGTGCTGAATGGTCTGAGGGCACCAAGGACCTCACCCCATTCGAGACGGCTGCCGAAGAGGCCTAAGCTCAAAGCAACATTCATACGTTTATCATTGGCATCTTACATGACACCCGTGTTTCTTCGGTTCTGTAGATCTTTATGTAAAAAAAGGCCGTTTCCCATCTGAGAACAGTGTACCTGGCAATATCGAAGAGTATTTGGCACCATCCATGGGCGCTTGCTCAGCAAGTCCGCTCCAGTGTTTTGGTTTGTTTCTCTTGACTAATCCAGTATGACTCTTACACATCGCGTCGATTGAAAAAAAATAACTATACGATTGTTTAAGTCAACATGATCATTCTCGTGCTCCTTCTATCATTTCTGAGGCAGGCGTAATCGTAAACCGTGAATCGTGACAGTTTCGTAAATACTAAATCATAATCAAACTTTACAAAGACGAACGTGCAGCGACTGCTCATAAATGGAATCCTTATTGAAATTTACCCCTCATTGACTCTGCTTTACTCCCTCCCAATATCTCCTTGAGAAATGCATCTGAGTTTGGCGCCCGGCCCAAAAGCTCCTCTAATATCTCTGGAATCTCACGTGCGCCGCCATTCTTCAAAATGATATCACGATATGTGAGCCCCTTTCCCACGTTCATTGGATCAGCTTTGAAATGTGTATGATAAATATCGGCTGCAAAAACTTTCGAATAAAGGTAGCCGTAGTAACCTGATTCATAGCCCCACACTATATGGCCAAACGTAGCGTACCCAATATTCTCGGTTTCCCCGCTGGAAACAAGCTTTGGCTCATCGAAAATCCGGTTCCAAAGTTTCTTTATGTCCAATTCCGCGAGTTGCTTTTCCGACTCAATGGTATGCAACGCCATATCAAACTCGCTGTACAACAACTGGCGCAAATTCATCAAGCCCGTATTGACGTATTTTGCTTGGATCAAGTTCTCAACGAGCTTTTTCGGAATCGGCTCTCCTGTCTGGTAGTGGCCCAGTAAACATTTGAGCTCATTCTCGGACCACGCCCAGAACTCTAGCATTTGCGAAGGACACTCTACAAAATCCTTAGGCACAAAAGTGCCCTGGAATCGTGCATGTTTGGTCTGTGAGAGTAACTGGTGGAGTCCATGGCCCAATTCATGAAGCAATGTGACCACATCGCCGTGTTGAAGCAAGTCTGAGGAGTTCTTGGCCGCTTGAGGGAAGTTACATACAACAGCAGTGTATCCTGGAGATCGTGAGCCATCTGGCTTTTCGTAGGCGGTATGAAGACGGAACGCGGCGGCATTGGAGAATTTCCCGTCACGCTCGTGCAAATCAAAGAAGATCCAGCCCATGAACTTATCACTGGGCTCACCAAATTCCACGTTCTGGTAAACAGCGTACTTTGAAACATCTTCATGCCAGACCGTGTCCGGCGCCGAAGTCTCTTCCTTCACAAATTTCACGTCAAAGAGTTTTTCGTAGAATAGAAGCATCCTGCTCAAGGTTTGTTGAAGTGGAAAGTACTCCAGAATCAACTGGTGATCAACGTTATATTCTCTTTCGAGCAACAAGTTGTGATAGTATTCGTCATCCCAGGCGTAAAAGTCGGATTGCATCGCCTCGCCATTTGCCGCCAATTCCTGGTTTTTTAGCTTTAGCATTATCTGAACCTCATTTCTAGCCAATGGATGCAATTTTTCCTTCAATTGCTTCAAAAACGTGACCACATTGTGAGGTGACTGCGCAATACAGTCCGCTAACACATACTCTGAGTATGACTTGAACCCCAAAAGCTTTGCTAGGCGAAACCTAATGCGAACAATCTCGTCCAAAACTCGGTCATTTGATCTCGCCCTGTTCATGTTGGCCACGTACGCCCGCTTTCTGACATCTTGGTTCTTACCATATCTCAAGATTGGAAGAATCGAGGTGTATGCAAGAGATACATTATAAAATATCTCCTCATTTTGCTTAAAAAAGTTATACTGTTCAAAGGCTTTTTCGGGCACCCCATCCAATTCTGTTTGGGAGAAAACAACGTACTCGTCTTCTTCCTCAATATTCGTCGCGAACTGCTGTGAGAGCTCACTCAAGATTTCTTGTAGCTCTCTGACCATTTCCTTTTCATCTTTGGGCAAGTCGAACCCGTATTTTCGATATTCACTGATCGCACTTTTCAAGAATTTGCGTGACTCTGCATTGGTTGCGTTTGGGTCATCCTTTATCTTCTCCCACAACCTCACATACACGGCAAATACCCGCTGCTGTAAACGCAGATCAAGTTCAGCTGCCACGATCTGCTCCGCATCGGCAGATGTTTCCCTCACCTCTTTGCTAGGGGACATCATCTTGTAAAAATTGAGCATTGTTTCTCGTTTTTCGTTTCTGTTTTCAAATTCTATCGTGGGAATCAACACATTGGCCACCGTGGGCTCCTCTATGTTTGCTATCGATTCCAGAAACTTATTTTCCTCTACCACAATATCCTTGGCCTCCTGTAAGATTTGGTGTGGAGTCAATGAAAAATTTAGCGCCTTCTCAAAGGGGCTCGCCCTTTCTGAAAATCTGGCTATGGAAACAACAATAAAGAAATAGATGAGTAACATGACATGGATCGAATAAAAGCCCGGCACGGGATTGGGCGTCTTTTATGCATCGTTAGTACGTGGCTGTGTTTCAGTTGGATCGGGGAAAGATATATCTGGAACTGTTTTGACATTAGATAGGGGTCAAGAACGATTCTTTTCTGGTTCAGCTGTCTTTCTGTTTTGGTCTTTTTGCGTATATTGCTTTGAGCATAGAATGTAGTGTTTTTTGATAATTTTGGTGTTTTGGGCCCAATTTCTAGGCTTAATCCAATATCAACTGAAATTCAGTATAGCCATACATCCAGAACACAACTAAATTAGGCTGGATAGCTACTGTTGCATCATTAATCCACCCTGGTTCTAGTACCCGCTTAAAGTTACCCCTCTAATTTCATGAGGCACTCGACACATTTCAATAGCCCGTTTTTTTCTGTTTTTGTTTTGGTCCAAAGATTTTAAAAAAGTTGTCCACAGCCACATTTCACAATGAGCCCCCCACAAGGTTGTAGCCGGTTTTTTTTATATTTCCAAAAGCCACAAAAGCTGTGATTGAATCTAGAAAAAGGTGTGTTTTTAGCAATAGCCGCTTATAGTTGGTCATTCCCGCGCGGCCTACTTTTCAACCATTTCTTCGAATAGGCCGTTTCAGCTGTTTCTTCAGATAGGCCGTTTCAACGGGCCGGCATCGGGGTGAAATTGTCGTTTAATTGTCGAAATTCAATGAAATCTCACACTTTTTTGGCAAGCCCAGCCTGATATTTCTGCATTATAACAAGTATTGTTCAAAGGATCGGAAGGAGGGTTATGCCTAAAACTAATGGCATTAGTTTCGATACAGCCTTCTTTCATGACTGATCATGTACATGCGAATTGCATCGTTTTTTTGTCTTTTTTGAATGAGGACACGATTTCTTGTACTTTCTGAAAAAAAAAAAAATACACACACTGATTTTTGGTCATGAAGTAGAACTGCTGCAAATGCACTTCCTCTTGCGGCTGCAAACTTTACACGCCCCCGCGCGTTTGACATGACGCGTTGATGTGAAAAGTAAAATTCGCAATTTCAAGCCATAAGCATGTGGCGAATCACAAATTAAACAGAACCCATATTTTATTGAATGCTTCGAAATATTCTCAAGTGTTTTACATTTTCTAAAAGCTACAATTCGAATTTTGCGGGACAAAATGAAGTTTTTATTTTTCGAGAAAGTCTCGGCAATGATCATCTCAAGCAAGTATTCTCATGAGTCCTCTTGCACTTTTAGAAATTACCTCATCCATTCTTTCTATTTTCGCCCTCGAAGGAAGTTGAGAGAGTTGTCTTAAGAAGTCGGCAGCGGCTGGATTTTTTTTTTTTTTTAAAGAAACAAATCGTATTAACAGGAAACCGCGGTTAAACGGTCAAAAATCTATATATCTATAGACAAAAAACCTGCATACGTCTGGATAGAACACTGAGTAATGAAGTCCCCCGACTTTCCCAAGCCTTAGGTCTTCCTCCTTATCCTAGCCGCTGTATAAGGTAGTGTCAACTTGTCCGTATTTTACTTCGTTCCAAACCCGCGGATGAACGATCGAAATTTTATATATTTACTACTTATCATATCTGCGACAAAAAGTTTTCAGATTCGGGCGTGTGGTCTAGTGGTATGATTCTCGCTTTGGGTGGACGTGCAGGCAACTGCATCTGAATACAAATTTGTGAGAGGCCCTGGGTTCAATTCCCAGTATGCCCCGATCTTCTTTTTTCAAATGTTTTTACAAGAAAAGAAGAGTTTTATATATTCCCGTTTTCCCCGTAGCCTTCGTTTTTTTCTACAAGTAGCCAATTCAAAAAATCACTGAGGTTCTGGTGCAATCTCTCATGAGTCCTCATCAGATTCAGACGCTATTTTTACGCTACATTACGTACACCTCGATCAATCTACCAATCTCAACAACCTCACCCGTAGTTTTCTCCACTAAACGTAGTCCCAGCAAATCAAACACGCCCTTCGAAAAACAAATAAACAGAAACTCAGACTCGTAAACCAGGTTTGGCTCCAAGACACCCAAACCAACATCGTTTGACAAAAGCACGACCCCTATTTTCTCAGGCTTTACAGCGTTGTACCGCTCTAGCAATTGCCACCTATTCTGGAACGCCCGGGTTTGATTGCCTTTCCCCTCATGCGATGGCGGGAGCATTTGATGTGACATGTTAGGCGTGCTGTTGCCTATCTGGGCCTGCAGATACACCGCCGTCTTTGCTTTGACCGGGCTGGACATGAGCACTAATTTCAAGACCCGTTTGGTGCGATTCACCGCCTGTACTTGCCACGTGACTATCTCACCTACATTTATTTTCGGGTCGCCGGTAAACTTGAGACGTAGACCATGTAACACAGACGGGATATCGCTGCCGAGATTCACCGTAAGCGCCAGCGGGACTCCTTGCTGCGAAACCACGGTTCGTTGCGGCTTTTTTCGGACGATTCCGCCACGTGAGATCGACAAAAGCGGGGTCAGTTTGGTCAGTGCCATAGGCCGCATAGGGTTGGGCAGCGTCCAGCCCGCCTGGGGCGAATAGGGCGAGCTGGATGGAGGGAGAGTGCTTGTACTGGCGAAAGTTTTGCTGGCGACGGTTTTTCTCGAACTGGGCGGCTTTAAATATGTGCTCTTTGAGCGGAACTGCGCCTGGCTCACTCCCTGCGGCGTCTGTGCCTTTATCGGAAGATTCGGCGGCAGTGTCATGTTGTCAAAGTCTAAAATTGGGGTCCAGGTGGTAGATATCTCTCTGGTCACGTGAATCCATACAGCAGGATCGTCATTAGACTGTTTCTCGACCCGTACACGCACAGTAATATCCACAGGCTTTGAGTTTGTCCCAATAGCAGGATTCTGTTCTGTGAACAGCTTTCTCTCAGCCAAACTTTCATTCTTTTCGAGCTTATAGGTTAGGTTTAGCACTTCATTGATTTCGCAGCGACGAGGAAACGCCAAATGGCCCAATGGCGTGATCGAGCCGCCCTTGAATTCTGCATGTAAATCCAAAATATGCAACACGTATTTGCCCCTTTTTGTACGTGAAACCGCCGATAACAGGTCCGGCGCGTCAATACGCAAAGATGTTAGCAACACATTGCCGCGGCCACCCGGTTTTGTCGTGCGGAGGCGAAGCTGGAGCGGCGCCAGTGTGGGTGTACAAAATCTGTGCTCAGGCTCAAGACTAAGGTCCTTTAATTGCAGCACGATTTCGTCGTTCGTGATTGTTATATCCAGGTTTTCAGGTTTATGCGGTGTTAGCCGCTGCAGTTCATCAGGACTAGCATGACTTCTACTATCCTTGATGCGTTTGTTATAGTGAAGCTCAAACTTATGTGTGGGCTTTCGGGAAATGCTATGGTTGAGTTCTGCTAGTAAGTTTTCTGTGTGCAGATACGGGTCCATATGAGCTTCAGAGCTAAGCGACTCCTTTTGTGATGTGAAGCCTGACGGCGACAGCGCGTAATTCATGTTTTCTCCATTTTCCCCGCTTTTCGAGATTTGCGGATTTCGGAAAAATACACACATTTCCAATTGGCCACTCGTGTCCTTTTGAGGGCTTCCGGTAGAAACGTTAAACCGCCATATTGACACGTTTACAGGCGGATCGCTCATTGAGCCAGACACGCCCTGCCACAATAGCGCAGTATCAGCTACCGAATTTTCATTTTCTTTGTTTTTGCTCTGTTCTTGCTCAACATTCATGGCTGGTGTGCTCGGCTGTATAGTGATATCTGGGCGCGCCGGGTGACCCAGTTTATTTGAATCAAGAGGCTGGCCCGACATCGAAATTAGCTGCAAATAGATTTTTTCAGACGGTAGCCTTTCGCCGATTGGACACGTATGCACGATATAGCCCGAAAAGGACTCGTCGTAAAAAAGCACCAGCCTGGTAGAAGCCTTGGATAGACTCCAGTAAAACGCGTCCCAGTCTATGTCATGCGGCGCTGTTTTCGATGGCTCAGAATTCAAACCTGCTGAAGTTTCATGCTCGTAGAAATTTGCATCCTCAGGAATGATTATGTGTATCAGCATTCCATGTATTGGTCAAATCACAGAATATGGTGATTTAGTGAGAACAGCTTTTGACGAGCGCGTGCACTTCATGTTTACGTCACGTGACCACTATATTCATAATATGCAGGTCAGAATTATAGGAGTCAGAAGAGTCAGAATCGAAACACTGTTTCTCTGAGTTTCTGGTCAAAATATACACATTGAGCACCATTGAATCTCATCAAAAGTGAGAAAATTAACTTTTTCGAGCTGGAATATGAATCACAGATAAAGCTTTGCTAAGGAGTTGTAGAGCTCTTGCTTGCCTTATATGCAGAACGGTAATGATAATGATACAGTATGACATGTTTTAAAGGATCACATCTATTGCACAGAAATAGAATAAACACTCAGGGTTTCTTCTTAAAGAGAGCGCGTTATTGGTGTTAAAAGCAAGCTTTCGCGCTATTCTTGAAAATGTAGCCAGGTTATCTCTTAAACCAAGATCCTTGTAAACAGGTCTGACTGTATCACGTGACACGTGGCGTCAATTACCCTTTGACCCTACATTGAACTAGGGGTACTTTCGGGCCTTGCTTTGCTAAATTGTTAGTTTTTAATAGACTTCTTTGCTAAAAAGACCTATAAAAATAAGACAACAGGTCACTCAATTCCAGATGCATCAACTGTTCAACACAATCATGCGCAGGCAAATGGCACCTACCGTCTAACTACACTGAATTTAATTCTTTTTTTTTTTTTTTTTTTTTTTTTTTTTGCTTGATACATCTGATCATGGATTGGAGGCCAGGATTGCTTACCTAGCTCTTCACAAAACTATATGTGGATATATAATACTCTAGTCAGCTTTGCTACTATGCCTTGCTACTATATCGTGGCTTGGCAGCGTATGAGATTAAGGAGCTATTCTTGTGACAACACATAATCAATGAACAGTTGGCTCATACAAGCTTCAGCACTTGTTTATACATCTACTAGTACTTTTTGAAAAGTGAAAACGTGTAAAACTTGAGATAATCGATCCAGGGAATTAATGGCCATAATGATGAGTCTGTTGCAGGATTGTGAGTCACTTTTCACAAGGAAATCACCACAAAGTGCTCCAAACCGGGTGAAATTCTGGAAAAATTGGAATCTGAGCAATTTACTGTGAAACCACTTGTGGCAAAATCGACAAATATATTGCCTGCACCAATATGCTAAGGTATACGGTATCTTGTATCATTAGTCTGACTGACGCTAATACAGGGTAGCCTGCCGACAGACGCACAGTCCATCAATATGTTTCTCTGTTCTTCCATCTTTCATAGTTTCATTAATGAATAATAAATAAACGCTATACGCTTTCCTGTGTCGCCTCAACCTTCTCATTTCCCGCCTTCTCGCCCCTATCAATCGCTCGAGTACATATAGTAACACCTCTATAAACCACGCCAACGAGACACCCCAAAGTGGTGATAATCACCAACATGGCATATATCGTCGCCACCACCCGGAACGCTGAAAAACCGTGATACAAACTGTAGAAATGATGCGTTGCAAGCGACATGGTGCCGATGGGAAATGTCATCAGCCAGAATCCGCGCTGGAACCGCATCAATCCAACAAATATGCGCTTGAGCCGCAGCGAACTCTGTGTAGAATACAAAAATGCATGATTGCGTTTTTTGGCAAACGGCGCCATTTTCGAAAATAACGCCATATATGCAAACACAGTGAGGAGAAACCCAAATGCCATCAGCATGAAAGCCACTAGCGCACACACTACCATAATGGCTGTGCTCATAATAAGCGCCAAGTCAGTTGTTGCAACGTCATTTTTTAGCGCGGTCTGGCCCAAAAACGACACGTATGCGGAATCGGCCACAACACTATGGTGACTGAGTAGTAATTCCAGCGAGTTCTGTGCAAATAGCAAAATCGCATACGCGCCCTGGCCCACAAACCCAATTGGGAGAAACATCGTCAACACCTGTCCGCTATGCGGTATCTTATGTACGAAAATACGCCAAAAGTTGATTGTGACAATGATCGAGGCAAGGAGCATGGCGATCGCCCACATCACCAACGTGACTACCATGGTGGCAATCTTATCACGTGTGGCGGGTAAATCGGCAGTGATGATTCCTCCTAAAGACGCTGCAACCGTAAGCGTCACCACAGGCAAAAGGTACTGCATACTAAGACTGGCATGTTCAATAATATTTTTGCTCCTGCGGTGTTTGGCCATCAGCGAAAAGTAGAAAGTCACAATGCTCGTGTAGAACGAGCCAAAAACGACTATCCACCATAAGACCCATACACCGATGATCCAGCGGCGGCCCAAAACACCATGGAGAAACGTGATCAACGTAGTATAGCCCATGACAAAACAGCCCATGGCGGGCGCTAGTGCGGGGTCACGGTGAATTTTGGAAAATAGACCGGGACGGGAAATTAGCGCCAATGCAAAAAACGTGCTGAGCACAATAAATATAAGTAGCCCCACAAGAGCCATGATAATGCCACATACTTGGAGCCAGTGTGCAGGATACGGGAAGTTATAAAGGAGATTCGCCGACATGCCCGTGCCCATGACGGATGCAAAGAAAACGGGCGTGAACCCGTCGATGAATCGTGTCCGTAGATCATTCTTGACCCGTTGCAGCCACGTTAAATCGGCCGTTTTCGTCAAAACAGTCAGCTCGCCGCCGCT